AGAGAACCGGCACAAGCATAGAAAACATGCAAATCCACAGTCAGCTGATGGATTCAAACTTGTAACCCTTGTGCCAACTATTGTGCCGTTTCATCTCCCTCTTTCAAATGTGGCATTTAAATGGTTTGCAAATATAATTCTGATATAATGCCCATTCATTTATTTTCTGGGGCCCGTTCGGTGGGTTGCATTTTTTAATGGGTCTATAAATGAGGAGTCATACTGAAAGAGAAAGTGTCCAGTTAGTTTTTCTTTTTATTTCAGCTGAAACTGTGCCACATATTATGACCACTGCAACTAAAAGAGCAAAATAATATAAATCGATGTGTCATTTTCTGTGGTTTTCTTCCCTCCAAAGTGTTAGCGTCATGGATCGCAAGTTATAGAGGTGTCAGCTCAGCTGCCGTCACTGCTCCTTGGTTTGCCTATGTTTTTTTAGTTTATGTTCTGTTTTTTCCTGTATGCATCCTAGATTAACCTACGTCATATACACTTCACAAAATTCAAGTGCAATGCATTACAGTTTTGTACAGAAATGCTTTTTTAATTTTGAAAGCAGTTATGGCTGTGCAGCAGAGTAAGAATTTCTTGAGTGCAGCTGGGAGACATCTGCAGGCTCCAGATGAGCATTAATTAACTTCTCCACATCCTGTTCATGCAACTGAGACAACAGGTCAAAATGAAGTTTGCAAAATGTCACGAAGCCCGAGGTCACAGAATGCAAGATATAGAAATATTGTTTTTACCCATCGACCTCCTGATGTGTGCGCTTATTGTCTTTCCTTTCCTTAAGACAATACTGCCCTGGGAGTCTGGCCCGTTTGTACGATATCTGTATTGACACTGCTGTGTCAGTCTATTATTAAGGGCCCCTTACGTTGCCAGTTGTTTCCGTTCTTTTTGGCTTGTTTTGCCTCTTGTAGCTTGATAAGTTACAGAACAGACCAAGAGAAATTGTGGGGGGTGAGAGCAGGGAGATGACATGAAGAAAGGCAACAGGCAACAACAAATGATCAACACAAAGTTTTTGGATTTCATTCAACTATTTTTTCCATGGACCTGTGACCGAGACAACACGTCCACACACTAATGTTAGCCCAATGTTTGTGTCAACTGTCAACCCACAACCTCGTTCTGCAGCTGGCGGGCAGCTTCTCTCTCACAGACATATATGTACTTAGACTTATATTTAGCGCACAGGTATAGTCTAACTCTCACTCCAGGTCAGCACATTATGACTCTGTCTCACTGTGTGTATTTACTGCCGTCACAGTTTCATGATTCATGATCACAGCACAAAAAGAAGCATTTCCCTTACATGAGTAATGAGAGGCACATTTAGTGGTTTATAGGCGCTGATTAAACTGGACTGCAGCTTCTGGCTCAAAACCGCACTGCAGTTCCTTTGGACACACGCACACAGTCAGAAACAGACCACACTGTTCTCTGGCTGTTCACAGGGGTACTACACTAACTAAGCTTGATCCACAAAAAAAACTCCTAATGCACAGACAGAAGCACTATCGTGGGACAGACGCCAGTTTGTTTGCATAGAGAATTTGAATGTAACCTGAGAACAGCGACAACAAACCAGCGAATAATCCTTACAAACTGGAACTTTGAACTTTGAACACGTTACCTGTAAATATTCTCTTTCTCTCTCTCTCTCTCTCTCTCTCACACACACACACACACACTTATATATGTATATGTGTCCACATTCACAGGACAGGGTCACGGACATAAGTCACGGTCAAAAAACTGTTGCTGGTGTCGCTGTTCTCAGAAAGAACAGGTCACGCGCGCACACACCACATACGAAACCAACAAAACAGCTTTATAATTTATATGTATATCATATTACAATTATAAGGAGATTTTCACACAAGAGTTTATCACAAGAACTCCGAGTCAGAGACAGAGACTCGGTCGGCCGCGTTTCTCCACGTCGACTGAGCGTAATACACAAACCCGTAGGTTTCGGTTGCCTGCATCTGTTATACATCGAGGAGACATATAAGTCGTAAAGGCCTATTTATACGGCACGAATATAAATGACCGCAAATGATCGATCAAGTTCAACTTACATTACACGCTCCTCTTCACCGGAGATGTGATGCCTGGACTGGGTTGTACAGCCTTAACTGACCCGGAGGTTTTTAACTTTCACTTTCATTCTGAGTCAGAAAAAACACAGGACAACCCACTGGCTTTCCGTCGCCTCTTGTTTTACAAGCAGCAGACATTTCTTTTGTTCAATAAAGAATTCTAATGTATTGTCAGCAACGTTAACAGGAGGCATTAGCACTGGATTAGCTTCAATCCACAGAAAAATGTTCGAATTTGGGCATTTTAGCAAAATGAAAGCTTTTTCATTCATGTTTTTTGTACAGGCCTAGATGAAAAAGATAATTACAGAACACTTTTTATTTAGATTATAGCATCAAGTTAGTTAAACATCTGAGATATTGTTCTGGTCAGTTAATGAAATTACATTATCTTACAGAAGTGAGTACAGCCTTTACATTTTTTGAGTAACTTTGATGTCACCTTAAAATACCTCAACATACAGCCATTAATGTCTAAACTGCTGGCAGCAAAAGTGAGTACACCCTTAAGTTAAAATGTCCAAACTGTGCCCAAAGTGTCAATATTTTGTGTGGCCACCATTATTTTCCAACACTGCCTTAACTTTGTTGGGCATGGAGTTCACTAGAGCGTCACAAGGTGCCACTGAAATCCTCTTCCACTCCTTCATGATGGCATCATTGTGCAGGTGGATGTTAGAGGCCTTGCGCTCCTCCATGTTCCATTTGAGGATGCCCCACAGATGCTCAATAGGCTTTAAGTGTGGAGACATGCTTGGCCAGTCAAGTACCTTTACCCTCAGTTTATTTAGCAAGGCACTGGTCTTTTTGGAAATGTGTTTGGGGTTGTTATATCATGTTGGAATACTGTCCTGTGGCCCAGTCTCTGAAGGGAGGGGATCATGCTCTGCTTCACTATGTCACAGTACATGTTGACATTCATGGTTCCCTCAATTAACTGTAGATCCCCAGTGCCAGCAGCACTCATGCAGCACCAAACAATGACATCCCACCACCATGCTTGACTGTAGGCAAGACTCACTTGACTTTGTACTCCTCACCTGTTTGCAGCCACACACCCTTGATACCATCTGAACCAAACAAGTTTATCTTGGTCTCATCAGACCACAGGTAATCCATGTCCTTAGTCTGCTTGTTTTCAGCAAACTGCGGACTGTCTTGTGCATTATCTTTAGAAGAGGCTTCCTTCTGGGATGACAGCCATGTGATGCAGTTTGCAGCGTATGGTCTGAGCACTGACAGGTTGACCCTCCACACCTCTGCAGCAATGCTGGCAGCACTCATACATCTATTTTCAAAAGACTACCTCTGGATATGACGCTGAGCACGTGCACTCAACTTCTTTGGTCGAGCATAGCGAGGTTTGTGTTGGTGTTGGGTATATTCTTATAGCTTAGGTCATCTTTATGTGACGTAATCTCTCTTTCAGATCCTCAGAGAATTCTTTGCCATGATGTGTTAAACTTCCAGTAACCAGTATAAGAGAGAGAGTGAGAACAATAACACCAGATTTAACACACATGTTCCCCATTTGCACCTGAGACCTTGTAACACTAGTGAGCCACATGACACCAGGGAAGGAAAATGGCTAATTGGGCACAATTTGGACATTTTCATTTAGGGGTGTACACACTTTTGTTACCAGGGTTTTAGGCAATAATGGCTGTAAGTTGAGTTATTTTAGGGGTGACATCAAATTTACAGTGTTATACAAACTGTAAACTGACTACTTTACATTGTATCAAAGTGTCATATCTTCAATGTTATCCCATGAAAATATATAATAAAATATTTACAAAAATGTGAGGGGTGTACTCACTTTTGTGAGATACTGTATCAACAGGCGCACTAGAGAGGCAACAATCTGACAAGGCCCAAGACATGAATGGTTTTACAGATGGAGGAGTGACATTTTTTTCTCAAGAGCATAGAGAGAAAGTCCAAGAAAGGCAGAACACCTCTGTGGCATGATGGCTTGGTCCATCCATCGCCAACAGGTTGGACCTCAGTGATACAGGTCCAGATCTAGAGGATCCTCCTGAGCATCCGTAGTCTTTTTAAGAATTTTCCCTCCTGTTGTCAGCAGGGCTGACCTGGGACAAAAATTCTCCGGCACTGACAGACATGCATACAATAATTTAAATACACTTGTCAGCCGCATCATTTTTTCCACTTTGATTTTCGAGGTGTCTATGCATTCAGTCCTCTGTAGGCTGATAATTTCCATTTCCATGATATGGCATCCTTTCGTTTATAACGCACTACCCAGTCCATAACATTACATTGAAACCTGATGTGTTATCAGAGTGTTCATTTAGTTTCTTGTAACTTAAAGACCACATGTGGTGCCTGGTACTTTTTTGGTATTTCTAAAGGCTTTTATTCAATGCAGTCTGTTCAGCACGTAGTCAGAGTCACATAAAAATAAGAATGCAACACATCAGACAGTCTTCTACTTCTTTCAATCAGGTTTGTTAAGTGTGATTGTTTTATATTTGTGTAACCACTGATTGCTACAACCATGAAAAGTTTAAAAGTCCTTGAGCATTCACAAGATTATCAGAAAAGCTGACCTCAGACCTTAAGGTCAAGATCACTGAGATTCAAATGAATCCAAGATATTAAGAAGATGCAGCTATGGTATCAATTCCAAAACCCTAAGTGATTTTCTTCTTGAGTCATCTCATTCACAAGATTTTGAAAAAACTTGACCTCTGACCTTGAGGTCAAGGTTACTGAGCTTCTAACTTGACCCTGATTTTTAGTAGAAACACCAATCCTACATCTCCTCATTCTCACATTCACAAACTTTGGTCACCTGGTTGACCATACCTCATCAGCCTTTTATAGCTGAGGGGTAAAACACAAATACTGAGTCATAGCTCAAGAAGGTGTAACTGTTCAAATAATATTTTATTTTATTAATCAGGCAAATTAGTGGCTGCAAAGTTTTTTTCCTCCAAGTGAAACGAACTAACAGCCACTACAAATATACAAACACACCTGATGGTCAAAACTGATTTAATGTCAATGTCCACTTGTGCCATTTATTGATTTTAAATTTCAGCAGTGACTTACATCCAGCAACAGGAAATGGTATGATGCAAGCGCTGCATCATAATAAACATAAGAGAAAGACACAACACTAAACAATGCAAACTTAAAATGCAGATTTTCTTGCATGACAGCTTGCTGCCATGCAGGTGACTCAAGAGGACAGAAGCAAGAAGAATTTTGGTTGGAATAATGCCACGTGAAAGTTACAGAAAGATTGTTCTAAATTTCCAGTGAGCAAGAATACCAACTAATGTATAAAAGGGGGAGAGCAGTGAAAAGAAGGCTGGGTTGTCATAAGGTCACTTGTCAAATCTAGGATGGGTTTACCAGGAACACAGCTGTCGGGACTATAAACAGTCCATGGATTTTCAATGCAAATGCAATGGAAAAAACACCCATCTGTGATACTGGTAGGATGCAATTAAGAAACCCAACCTTGTTTGATGCTGTAGCCTAACACACAAACAGGCGCACTTTAGAGTAAAATTTGGAGTAAATTTTACCTATAAAAACACGGGGCACTTAAAACCGGCACTGGGGTTACAATAATCTAATGCTCGAGACAGTAGCAAAAACGGCTTGTTCCAACTTTCTTTTGTTTTTTTTGTTTAGTTTTTTTTATTTTACCTGGCATGTGACCCTACAGTACTCAACTGAAGACAAATGTCTGCATTTTCCAGATCATAATGACAGTAATTTATGAGAATCCTGTGGATAATAATACTATAATCAGTAGAAAGAGTCCAACTTCATGCAACAACAAGAACAAGAATTGTTTCACAACAAAAAAAAGAAAAAGTATTTAACAGATTAAACGGAAGAAAATTCACAGTTATGTTTCTTCTCACATTCATACGTTAAAGACTGGACATGCATGCAAGATGGGGTCAAAGATCAACACGGAGCAAAAGCTTTTTTCCTTTGCTTGTGTTCTACAAAATGCTTCTCTATTCATTCACAGCTTGTGCTGTTGCATTAAAGTTAGGGGAGATTTACCATTTGGCTGATGTGAGAAATGTGAGCCTTGTACCCTACCTGGCAGGTCAAATGCATTTCAGAGGTAAAGGCAGACTTTGAACCGTATACATAGAAATACATAAAGTGCTTCTGTCAAAATAAACAAACAATAAAAACAGTACAAAACGGTTTTCAAAAAAGAGGTATCAAAACAATGCACTTGGGGGTGTGGAGGAGACTGGTGTCTGCTGGACATCAGAGGATTCCTGCAGGACAGACAAATGAGCTGGGGATTCTTGCTTTAAATAAAAAAGATGTTCGAAGATGAATGGAGGTAAGGAGGGGTAGTCGAGTGGCTTTCAACCAAGGATCAGGCTGGACTTGCCCCCCGGGGGGTTTCGGCGGCCAGATGGTAGTCCTGCACAGGGTTCCTCAGCCTGGGGGGCCTCATCTTGCTGCTCTCGAACTGCTTCAGGCTCAGCAGCGCTGTTTTCTGAGCATCAAAAGACAGTTTACAAAATAAATAAGGAAATGTTCCCTTATGACTTCTACTTGAAAGCACAGTCTGTGTGTCAAGTTTATCGTGTTCACTCTCTAAACAAACTATGAATGCCATTGGATGTGGGTGTTTCCTGTTGTTTTCAGTTTACTCTCCATTTCAACTCAACTGCAGATAACAATAATTTGCTTCTCCTGCCCTGTTTTCAAATGAACACTAAGCTTGAAAGTTATTTTTCTTTGCACATAGTTTCCCCTGGTAAACTGGTTCTACAACTCTAAATTCAAGCAGACCATTAAACTTTATGTATAGTTAACTCAGGGAGGCAGACTGGGAGAGTCAGGGGGAATAATAATATTACCATGTCAGTGTTTCTTTTCCTCCCTTTTCTGTGTATGTGTTGTAAGCATTATATTAAAACTGACTTGTATAAATGTGCCAACAGTTGGGGTGCAGGGAGGTTTCAAACTAAAATAACAATGATGTGATCAAGAAACATGCTCTTACCATTTTCACGTACAGAGATATCTCCATCCTAATCAAGATAAGCAGAAAAGAAAGGATGAATGTTTGACAACTTCATAAAGGAACTTTGTACAACTTGAATCTGTTTTGTTGGAAAAACGCACATTCACAGCGCAATTCAATAGCACTAGTTACAACCCAAGTGTCATTTGGTAATTTCTCAAAAGGAAGAAGAAGAAAACATTGATACTTTAAATAGTTTGGACTTAAGCTGTTTCTTGGTGTTTGTTTGGCCTTAAGTTTCACTTCCTTTCTCTGTGCATCTCATGATCTGAGCCTTTGTCTTACTGTGGTGGGCGTGTCCCCCAAGTGACCGGTAGTATGATTTCCTCCTCTCCTCAGGGGGGCCGATGGCTCTCCACACAGCACACCTGTTGGTTTCCCGCCTAGAAGAGAAATGAAATATTGGGAATAATGAGAAAGACAATCCCAATTTAAATAAACACGTATTATATGTGTGTCTGTGTTGAGCTGTTTCAGTCTGGACTGCAGAGCTGGACAGACAGGCAGACAGACATATGGGACTATCCCTTATCACTGCCAGCATGTCTCAAGAATTGTGTTTTAATGATCCACCAGTGGCAAATATAAAAAGGCATCTCAAAAAAACATCACTGAATAACAACATCTGAGAATTGGGGCATTAAAACTTCTCTGAGGCAATGAGACCCCGGAGATTTAAAAAAAACCCAAGCCGAACCAACTGTCAGACACGCCTGACTGACACAATCCTCCACACTTCGTTCTTCACAGATTTTCTACAAAATCTAATTGAAAAACAACACAAAACAACGACACCTAAACCAGAGAGCATTGATCGATGCATCCAAATGCAACCAGATGCAAATATGTAATAAATGGCCTGATTATAAGCAGATAAATGACACATTTTCAGTTTCCCATGAAATATTTGCAAGTAACAAATGACATTTGTGATGACAGGAAATAACAATCTCATGATAGAAGCTATTCAAACAGCTGCGCACTGACTGGACTCCTACATATGACCTTCCAGTTTTAAATTGTGCTCTGGGGAAGTTTGACATTTCTTTAGTTACACTTTCGCACGAAATGTCCGTCTTACAACAACCATTTTCACACTGAGGTTAATTTAGATGCACAGTCATGTTCTCCTGCGTAGGCCGCTTTTACTGTGTAGGCCATTTCCTTTTCGCCTCCGGGGGGTTTCTGATTCATTCTCAGTACCCTTATTCACAAGCCTAACAGCAACGCATGTGTCTGTCAGTTTCGGTATAAATAACGGCTATTCAGAAATACTGTCTATCAGCACATGATTGGGGGTAGAGAAGAAGGCCAAAAAGGCAAATTTACATTTTTATAATTTGTTCTCACGGAACAAAAGTGGTCCTATTCTCCAAATCGACAACAGCTTAATGTGACATTTCAACTACGTAATATGAACTTCTTAAACTTTTCAGTATTATCTTTTTTGCACATTTATTATATCAGATAAAAGGTACCAGCTTACTTACAGCTTATTCTAAAGGACCAACTGACTTTTTGGGCTGAATGAATGCCTGCAAATCCTGCTAACATCACATCTCTCGGTGTCACCGGCACCGATGCTGGTGAGACGGCCATCAGTGCTACTCTGCAGCCACCTAGTAGATACACCTGTGGTATAAATTCGCCTTGTTCTCAAGTTATTGCATTCACAGGATTTTCCGAAAATGTGACCTTATGAGGTCATGATAAACTAAATCACCCTGTGCACCACTTAACTGGATAGTCAGAGCACTTTCTCTAACAGACTGAGCTCTGTTGCCACAAGGACAGATACAAAAATGTTCTCATCCCTCAATAAATAACTCTTTCTAACATGCTACATCTGTCTAGCAGAGTCATCTGCACTTAAACATTTTACTGTCATTTGTTTTTACTTTCCCCAAATATGTAAAGGATAAAATATTTGACACGCAGGAGTTGTTTGTCTTTGTAAATCATGAAGTCATGAGTGAGTACTCTAGCGTTTGGGGGTTTAGGTCTTTGCCAATAAGAACATCTGGCTTGTACACACATTACTGTGTGTGTACAGCAGGTGCAAAATAATCCACTGACGCAAGCACTGCTATTAAAAAATCATTTTAAGCATTTTCATTTTTAAGTATTTGTACTATATCCTACGCATAATCTACAGGGTAATACTACACATTTTATTTCAAATTACACTTCCACCTGTAATTTCCATAGTTTGAAGAGTAACTTCTGTGTTAAAATTACATTTAGTGCTCACTTTTTATTTTTAGCTACACTTTACTGGTATTGCTTAAGTCCCATATTTTGCTTTCAGAACTTTCTTAATTCTTTCTGTCAGAGATTCAACAAGGTGCTGGAAACTCAGAGACATTGATCCATACTGATATGTAGTTGCTGCAGATTTGACAAAAATCCATTATGGAAATCTTCCGGTTCAGCACAATGCAAAGACGCTCAGGTGAATGATCAGGCAATTTGAGTACAGTGAGCACATTGTTCAAGAAACGAACATGAGATGGTTTGAGCTTTGTGGCATGGTATACTATCCTACAGGAAAAAGCTATAAGAAGATTAGTACATTGCGGTCATGAAAACTTGGAGCATTGTCTGCAAAACTATTCAGGAAGGCTGTTGCATTCAGACAATGCTCAACTGTAGGGTTGTAGTGACTTGAAAAATTGTCAACATGCAATTTTGATGTTGATGTGTCACATTCTAAAACCAAATAAATATGTTTTTATATCTGCAATACACTACAGGAAGATATGGGGGCACTATCTCTCTCATAGTCTGCTAAGACTGAGCTTAATACTAACAAAGAAAAATGCAGTGAAAACAACGGTGAACCAAAGACAGGAAATCCCAAATAGTTGATTCTGTTCACCTGGATCTAGCGTTTTCAATGAGAGACAAGTGGAATAATGGAAGAAGATCAAGACAGAGACTTCTGTGTGGGAGAAATTTCACAAAAAACAACTTTTCTTCCACAGCAGCACCCCTGCAATGTGCGGACATTTAAAATGTCCACACACTGGTGTCACGACACGGCATTTAATCCGTTATTAGACTCAACTCACTTCTCTCAAAATGTAAAAGCACCCACCCACCACTTTAATCACACTCTAGATCTTGTTTTAACATATGGCACAGAAACTGACATTTAATAGTGCTTCCTGAAAACCATCTCCCGTCTGATCATTTCCTAATAACATTTAAATTTACAATAATAGATTACACAGCACTGGGGAGTAGATTTCACAGTAGATGTATTTCTGAAAGTGCTGTAACTAAGTTAAAGAATATAATCCACCCACTGTTGTCATCTTCAAAGCCCTGTACCAACACAGAGCAGAGAAGCTACCTGAACGCTACTAACAGAGGTCGATTATCTTGTTAATAACTTTGCCTCCTCACTACGTACGACTCTGGCTACTGTAGCTCCTGTGAAAAATAAGGCCTCAAATCAGAAGTACTTGACTCCCTGGTGTAACTGTAAAACGCGCACCTTAATGCAGGTAACTGGTAAGCTGGAGAAGAAAAGGTGTTATACAAATTTAGAAGGTCATCATTTAGCTTGGAAGAATAGTTTGCTGCTTTTTGAAAAAGCCCTCTGTAAAGTTAGAACATCTTCACTGATTTAAGAAAATAAGAACAACCCTACTTCTTCACAAAAAAATGTTAACCATTAGAGAAAAAAAAATGACTCATAATCAACTCATATATGTAACATTATCCACAGCTACTTTCATACCATTGATATTTAGAGTCTTTTTCTCCAATCGATCTTTCTGAGTTAACTTCAGTAATTACTTCCTCCAAACCATCAACGTGTCTTTTAGACCCCATTCCTACAAAACTGCTCAAAGAAGTCCTGCCATTAATTAATGCTTCAATTCTAAATATGATCAATCAATCTCTAATAATGGGCTACCACAGGATTTCAAGCTAGCAGTAGATAAACCGTCTCGGCTAATTATAGGCCAATCTACAACCTTCCTTTCATATCAAAAATCCTTGAAAGAGTAGTTGTCAAACAGCTAACAGATCATCTGCAGAGGCTTATTTGAAGAGTTTCAGTCAGGTTTCAGAGCTCATCACAGCACAGAAACAGCTTTAGTGAAGGTTACAAATGATCTTTTTGTGGCCTTTGACGGTGGACTCATCTCTTGTCCCGCTAGTCCTCGGTGCAGCGTTTGATACTGTTGACCATAATATTCTATTAGAGCGAGCAGAGCACGCTGTGTGTATTACAGGTACAGCGCTGCAGTAGTTTGTATCATATCTATTTAAAAGACTCCAATTTGTTCATGCAAATGGACAGTTGTCTACACAAACCTAGGTTAATTATGGAGATCCACAGGGTTCAGTGCTAGGACCAATTCTATTTATATTATACATGGTTCACTTAGGCAGTATCATCATAAGCCATAGTATATATTTTCACTGCTATACAGATGACACCCAGCTCTATCTGTCCATGAAGCCAGATGACACACACCAAATAGTTAAAATGCAGGAATGTCTTAAAGACATAAAGACCTGGATGGCCGCTAACTTTCTGCTTCTTAATTCAGATAAAACAGAGGTTATTGCACTCGGCCCTGAAAAGCTTAGAAATATGGTATCTAACCAGATTCTTACTCTGGATGGCATTACCTTGGCCTCCAATAACACTGTCATTTTTAGAATGTCAGTCATTTTTCCCCAGGATATGTCATTCAAAACAAATATTAAACAAATATGTAGGACTGCTTTCTTCCATTTGCACAATATCTCTAAAATTAAAAATATCTTGTCTCAGAGGGACTCTGAAAAACTAGTTCATGTATTTAATACTTCCAGGCTGGACTACTGTACTTCATTATTACCAGGATGTCCTAAAAATTCCCTGAAAAGTCTTCAGTTAATCCAAAATGCTGCAGCAAGAGTCCTGACAGGGACTAGAAAGAGAGAAGAAAGCATATTTCTCCTGTATTGGCTTCCCTTCATTGGCTCCCTGTTAAATCCAGAATTTAATTCAAAATCCTGCTCCTCACATACAAGGTCTTAAATAATCAGGCCCCATCTTATCTCAATGACCTCAGTAGTAGTACCATATCACCCCATTAGAGCACAGCACTACAAGGTTACTTATTGTTCCTAGCTAAGCATTTTGCATAATTTTAAAAAGTTTAAATTTGTTCAGTAGCCTATTTAACTGCAGAAATGAGGCTTTCTTTTCAGAAGTAATTAAAAGGAAGAAAAAAAACAGCGGCCATGGGTAATAAGCAAGCAAATAATGGAGAAAACTGAGATTTTTAGATGGGAAACTGTTCTTGAAGTACACTAAAAGAGAGAGAGCTGTGCCTGAAGTGAGATTTTATTGTGCTGGAAGCAAAACAGCAAAAGT